AAAAAAAAAAAAAAAAAAAAAAAAAAAAAAAAAAAAAAACACATCATAGTAAAATAAATACCTTCTCCGCTTCGCATCGAAGCTAAAAATGTGCATGCATATATGTAAATATAGAGTTAGAAACTATGACAACAAAATAATGATGACAATAAATTTAAGATTTATAAGATAAATATAATATATAATTAATATAAGACAGTTAAATTCTATAAAAGTAAATGTGACCAAAAAACTAAGTATTATTGAAAGAGCGTAGCATTTCATGTATTGGATTATTATTATTATAGGAGTTATGATGAGAGGGAACATGAAAGGGGAAGTGATTTCTAGTGGGATAGGGTGGAACAAGAAAAGAGATAGAAGACAAAAAGTCTGGTGCATCAATTAGACCATTAAGAAGAGCATCGATAATGAACGTTCTGCATCAAATTGCCTGGAACTAAAAGTAGGGATATTAAGTGTGGACCAAATAATGGAGTAATCATGAGGCGGTGAGTAATTTTGAGTAAATAAGCGGCATAAATAAAAAGCGATTCTGTACTCTTTCAATACGAAGTTGATCTTTAGCTAAATAAGGATGCCACACAACCACTCCGTATTCTAAAATAGAGCGAACTAGTGAATAATAGAGGGAACGTAAACATTGTGGAGAAGTAAAAATATTAGTATGTCGTTTTAAAAATCCTAAAACTTTTAAGGCTTTGCCTACTATAAAGTTAATATGGACGTCAAAAGATAGCGAAGGAGTCAGATGGAATCCCAGGTTAGTTACTTGAAATACACGCTTTACCGTGGTACTATCTAGGGAGTAGGAGTATAAAAGAGGAACGCGCTTCCTGGTAAATGTCATAATATAACATTTACTTATATTAAGTGTGAGGCTAACCCGATTACTCCAGCAAACAAAGAAATTAAGATCTGCTTGCAATAACAAACAATCAGAGGGAGATGCTACTTTTGTAAAAATTGTCATGTCATCTGCAAATAAGAAAACTCGGCAATTAGAAAGGTAATTATTAATAGAGTTTACATAAAGAATAAACAGCAGAGAACTGTAGTGTCAACCTTGGGGGACGTCCGAAGGAACTTCAATAATGTTGGACCTAGCACCATTGACAAAAACATATTGTTTTCTTGATGCAAAGTATGACTTCAACCAAGAAAGTAAGGGGTCATCATTACCGAGAGTTTCAAGCTTAGATACAAGTAGACGATTGTCAATTGTAACAAAAGCTTTTTTGAAGTCCGTAATGACAGCATCAACTTGATAATCATTTTCGAAGCTGTTTAAAATAAAAATTGTAAAGGACAAATTGCAGGATACGGTAGATTTACCTGGACGGAAGCCATGTTATTCATCAATGATGATAAGGTTAAGACTTCGCTTTACACTGGAATAGACCAGAGATTCAAATAATTTGGCAATATGAGGCAGGATGGAAATTGGCCGGTAGTTAGAGACAAGAGACGGATCACCGGATTTCAATATAGGAGTAATGGAATAAGTCTTCCATACTTCAGGAAAAATACCTTCATCTAGAACGCCTGAAAAGCAAAAATATAGGGTATACTAGAGAAAGACGGCAGTTATGTAATAATTATGCTGAGATACCGTCAGGACCATTCGAGAAATTGTTTTTTAGATAACCCAACAGAGTTTGGATATCATCGAGAGAAAAAAGAAAATTTGCAGGTAGATTATAAGGATAGGTTGTAAAATATAAGATATTTTTTTTGGTCCTTTAATGGTGATGAAAAATCAATGTTTTCTGAAATTTTATAGTAAAAAAAATTGAATATGTTGCCATAACCTTTTAGCTTAATTGCAAGTTTGAAATTGACATCATTAAATAGAAAATTTTATGAGAATTCAAAAGCGATACAAAAAAACGGTAGCACAGTGGGATCGAGGCACAGTGTGGACGAGGCATAGATGTGACAATTATAGATGATATCNGGACGAGGCATAGATGGGACAAGTATAGATGATATCTGACAGTGATTAAAATCACTATCATAAGAAACGCTTCGATGCAAATCTGTAGATAGTGTTTCATTTAGAGAAATTGGTGGATTATTCCAAAAGCAACATCAACACTTATTTCTTTAATTATATCCTGATTAGTAGTTCTTTGATTTTAAAATATAATATATGAATAAATACTAATTATAGTTATTAAATTTAGTATGAAATTGATATTCAATATTTTAATATTGTATTTTATACGAAGAAATTATAAAAATAATAAAGAAGTTATATTTTGCTTTACTTTTACGTGTATAAAAATTTGAAGGGCTTAATACAATATTATTCAATAAAAACTGTTTGTTACTATAAATAAATGCACTGCACTACAAGGAACTTTCATCAGAAGCAAAAATATACTTTTCTAAATCAAATTTTCACGTTGTTTTCAAATCTGCAATTACACTTTTTCTATCACTTCTAAGTTTTAATGTTATTAAAAAATAGTATTTTTATATATAAAAAAAAATAATTATGAACAAAAAAAAATTGTTTTAAATAAATACTGATTTTGATTATTAATATGTTAAAAATAAGGAAAATGACATATTTAACTTATTTGTTTATCGTTTAAAGTTGATTTTTGTAAATAGTTATAATGAAAAAAAAAATTTATTTTACCATAACTTTTAGCTCAATTGGCAAGTTTGAAATTTATATTATCAAATAGAAAATTTTATGAGAATTAAAAAAATTGTATCGTTAAGATTAATATACAGTTAGGAAGTTTTATAATTACTATTTATAGTAAATTTATCAGAAAAGCTCAATATTTTTTTGCATTTTTATCGTAATAGATAACTTAAATAGCAGTAATAGTAATAATTTCCTAGTAACTTTTGGTCTTTGAAAAGATTCTGCAATTGAAATATTCAGAACTTAATTAATTTTAATGATTTACTTTAACTAAATGACCAATCAAAACAAAGTTGTTAAAAAGATTTACTCAATTGAGCATATAATAAAATTTGATTATAATTATAAAAATCCATTATTAATTTTGGAGAAACTAACAATCATTTTTCTTAGAAATGATTTATATAGCAACATGTTACCAAAAAATTTGTAATATTATAGTCTAGTAGTAGTACACACAAATTCAGTAAAAACTTTATTAAATTACAAAGTAAAATAATTTAATTTTGTAGTTGAAACCTATCATATTAAAGTTGATTCGTCAATAAATACTTTGAAAACATTAGAAATGAATGATTTGAATTGTTTTTATGGAAAACATGGGATAAGTAACTGTTTAATTGATAAATTAGAATTTTCTATCAATTTTTGAGGGTAATATCTTCAACTAGATACGAATTGTAGTCATTTGACGTATCGTTGAAAAAAGTAGGTCTAGCTAGAGCAAAGAAAATAAATGATATACACAAAAAAATTACTTCTCAGCTTTGCATCGAAGCTAAAACTTAAAATATAGTAAAAAAATTTTAATATGAATAAAAAATTTCTTCTCGCGAGTGGCGACTACTGTGATGGGATCCTTGATCTTTATTGAAGTTTTTGAATCTAAATGAGATAAAAATCAAAGCAGTTAAAAATTTATTCTAACTTAATAAGAATTAAGAAAAAATGCAAAAAATTCATTGCAATATGTGGGTTGGAACCTCGTACCCAAAGCTTGTAAAACACAAGTTTTACCCACTCGGCAATCGTACGTTGGTGCCGTCGCACAGTGGAATTAAACGCCGATTTAGGCGGTCAAAAGTATCATTTTTTAAAAATATAATAATAACAGGTTATTAAATTAAAAGCGCATAAGGTTTACAATTTAACCCTTAAACAGTCACGTGGGGTCTAGCATACCCCCACATAAATAAAAACGGATGTGTTATATTGCATTAAAGGTGTACATAGATATAAATTTAGAAGATTGTTTTTATAGTAATATTGAATAAATTTTTATAAATAAATACCTTCGAAAAAAAAATGTATGACTTAAAATATCCATCAAAGTTGAAATGGGTCGTATTGGCTCCCACGCGACTATGAACGTTATAATTTTTTTTTGGACTTGTATTTTTTTCAAAATATCGTTTTATTAACATTTCACAAAATCATTACATTAAATTTAATTAATTATATAAGTAATTAACTAATCTATTTTATAGAGTTTTGAGTATTGATAGCACACTTAAAATGTCTGATATTATTGATAGTATTGAAGAATTGTAAATTTTTTTTTCGTTGGGTTTGGTTGCCATTAGCTTTGAAATTCAAACTAGCATAAATTGCCATTTTTTTCAGTCGACGGAAACGACGTACGGTTGTCGGTAGGTAACACTTGTGTCTTACGCGCTTGATGTACAAGGTTCCAACTCGTGTATGGCAAGGAATTTTTTGCATTTTCTTCTGAATTCTTTTCAAGTTAGAATAAATTTTCAACTCTTTTGATTTTAACAAATTTCAAGAAGAAATTTCTTATTCATATTAAAATTATTATACTATATTTTAGGTTTTAACTTCGATGCAATGGTGAGAGGGTATTTTTGAGACTATCATTTATTTTCTCTGCTCTAACTTGACCTACTTGTTTTAACGATACGTTAAATGATTACAATTTGTATCTAATTGAAGATATTACCCTCAAAAATTGAAACAAAATTCTAATTTATCAATTAAACAGTTACTTATCCCATGTTCTCCATACAGACAATTAAAATCATTCATTTATAAGTTTTCAAAGTATTTATTGACGAATCAAGTTCGATATGATAGGTATCAATTAGAAAATTAAATCATTTTACTTTGTAATTTCATAATACTTAACTCTATTTGTATGTGCTACTACTAGATTATAATATACCAAATTTTTTGGTAACATGTTGTTATATAAATAATTTCTAAAAATAAATGATTGTTAGTTTCTCCTGAATTAACAATGGATTTTTAAATCTTTTTAACAACTTTTTTTTGATTAGTTATTTTAGTTAAAGTAAATTATTAAAATGAATTTAGTTCATATATCAATTGTAGAATCTTTTTAAATACCAAAAGTTACTAGGAAATGATTACTATTATTTCTATTTAAGATATCTATTATGATAAAAATGCAAAAAAATATTGATCTTTTCTGATAAATTTACTATAAATAGTTATTATAAAATTTCCTGAATGCATATTAATCTTAACGATACAATTTTTTTATTTCTCATAAAATATCTTATTTAATGATATTAATTTCAAACTAGCAAATTGAGCTAAAAGTTATTGTAATAAATTAATTTTTTTTAACAATAAACTTTCACAAAAAACAACTTTAATAGATTATAAAAATAGGTTAAATATGTCATTTTCCTAATTTTTAACATATTAATTTAAAACAATTTTTTTTTGTTCTTAATTATTTTTTTATATGTAAATACTTACTTTTTAATAATAAGTAATGATATTAAAACTTAGAAGTGATAGAAAAAGTTTAATTGCATATTTGAAAACATCGAGAAATGTTGATTTAGAAAAGTACATTTTTTTTTTGATAAAAGTTCCTTGTAGTCCAGTGTATAAAACTTATAACTTTATTATAAGTAACAAACATTTTTTATTGAAATGTATTGCGTTAAGCTCTTTAAATTTTTATACACGTTAAAAGTAAAGAAATAATAACTACTTTATTATTTTTATAATATCTCCGTAAAAATTACAATATTAAATTATTGAATATCAATTTCATACTAAATTTAATTAGTATAATTATTATTTATTCATATATCATAATAATAAATCAAATAACTAATCTGGATAAAATTAAGGGAATAAGAGTTATTGTTGCTTTTGAAATAATCTAATAATGCCACTTCCATACTGTGTCGCGACCCAACTGTGTTACCGTTTTTTATATTTAGTGTTTATTATATAAACATAAATATATATTACATACTAATTCAATTATTATTTATGATTTGTACTAAACAATAAACTTAAAAAAGAGCAAAAAGTAATTTTTACCAGTTTTTGGTGTTATTGGTTTTTTTTCACACCGGCGCGATGTTTTTTAAACTAAGACTTAAGCACAGAGACTAGATATCCATTATGTATACGATGAAAATACTCGAGTCCAATAAAATTATTATTAAATTGATTTAAAATTCAGTTTAAACTGAGAAAATTGTGTCCTTTAGCTTTTTCCACCGGCGCGATATTTGTTATGACAAAGAAATTAAGCTCTAAGACTAGATACCCAGTAAGAAATGTCACAATACATTTTTACCATTAAATGTATATGTAAAGTTAGATTGGATATAC